TTGTTCAGTAGTACTGAATGACCTTGATCTTTATATTTTGTCCAGTGGGAGTGATTGACCAGCAAATGTGCTGGGGTAATAATAAGACCAGACTTGACCATTAAAAACGGTCAGCAGGAAATTCTGTTTCAAAGAGTAATGTGCCTGTTTCTGTCCTAAGTGTCAACATGTAGAGTGACCATGGACTGACAGGAGATGACCATTGGGGAAAGGGTTATAGTTGGAGCGGGTTGCTGGTTGTTTACTGCATGTGTTCCTTGAGCTTAAACACTGTCAGCCTGTCAGCAAGATTGTTACGTTTGTAAAAGGGGTCTTTTATATCTTACATCCTTTAAATGATACACATCAGACCTGTCAAATTACTTTTTCTTTGATTTGACATTTTCAGTTGAAAATAAATGCTTTTGTGTAGAATTTTTCATGTGGGATTGATATTGATTTATTCAGATTCTATGTATGACGTCAAGTTTGTATTATGATGATAGTACATTATGTATAATCCTAGACAAATAAGTTATTATGAGATATTCTGTTACCCAGTCATAATACATGTACAAGCTTAGTATATTTCAGGTATTTCATTTACAAAATTGAATTATGAATTATTTATGTTTTTTACTTCAGGATTTTATGAAATACATTGTATGATATATGTTTGATTTGAGTAGAGGAAAAATATATGTTTAATAGAAATCTTAAACTTAGCCCAATGGTAAATGCATTCATAAAAATAATATTTTCGATAAATATAGTTATTGCTATGTTTGAGAACAAATATTTGATTTAGAGATATTTAATTGTATGTGTGATGGTAGCCCGCACACAGGTAGTGATGGCATGGGGAGGAGGGGATCTTATTATAATAATACTATGTAGGGGGGTCTAAGGGGAGGGGAAGCAATCAATAACACCTTACCAGGTAGTCAGATTCGGTCCTGTTTATTGTCACTGCAGATTTCTTGTTTGCTTAGTTCACCTCCGCTAAATATTCACTGTCGGACTAAAAAATTATCGCCAGGATTAAATAGCAAGATAGTTTTAATATTACTTATAAATAGACTTCTTAGGAAAGAATATGGAGTTGATATTCATTCAACACTGCTATTTAATTGTAATTTCAAGTATAAAGTACCCTTAATAGACAATGCTATATATTGTTATAAATATCAGCTTTATCAGGTTATGTTATTAATAAACATTCAGAATTCTTCAATGAGTTCTTTCCATTTTTCCCATTAAATTAGATGTATCATAAAAATCTATAATATAAATAAGACGCCATGAGATTAAGGATATCTCATGACCCAAATAAATAACTGTTAAATATTACCTCACTGTTATGTGAACCTAAATACATACTGTCCACCTCTGTATCAAAACATGTACCAATCATATTCACATCTGTACATGTCCGTCACCCAAACCATCCACCTGTGACTTAACTAGTACCAAACTGTCAACATTTGTACCTGATCTTTGTCCCAGTAAATATGTACACAAACTATTCACATTTGTACACATCCCTTTTCCAAAACCAAACATCTGTAAAATGCATGTACACAAACTGTCAATATGTGTGCATGACTGTACCCTAACCATCCCTACACTATAGCTAGCCTCCTCGGCTGGATGGGCCTGACATGTTCATTTGCCCAGAGGGAACAGGAAGGCATTTAATCTGTGTCCGCTTATGAATCAAACATGGCCGTCACCAATTGTTCCCCCAATCAAATGACTTCTATTGGGCTTCCATAATGAACACTGCCCATTTGGTTGGTTGTTCCACTGGAAATACAAAGACTAAGCAGTGTATTAGTACTTCATGGCGAAATTTTACCACAGAATTTGCATAATGTGTTAGATACTGTTACCACCAGTCAGAAATTGAATTATATTTAACCAGGATTTGAAAAAAATGATCAATTATTTCAGCATAGATATTAACAACTTTTAAAAATATCTGATTTTGTATTATTCTATTTCTGATATTTGAAATAGTTTTGAAGCCATATCAGTCATTTAATCATTAAATTGGTGAAATAATGAATTCCAAAATGTCCGTATTTTGAAAGATTGCTCTTTACCATGTCTCGGGGGTATTTTATCATTGTTGTAGGGACGTATTGTTGGTGTACTAAGTACATTTACTTTTAACTAATTTCTAAACACACTCAAATATCAAAATTAACATGAGCATCACAAATAATAAATAATATATTAAATTTAAAATTGGTTTTCGTCCAAACTTATTTACATGCCTACAGTTCAATAAGAACCTAGCTTATAGATATTGCTGTATAAATATATATATAAAAAGGCCAACAAGAACGATATTGCTTTCCTGTCTATATTCCAAAATAATGAAATATGAAGAAACAGGAAGAAATTAAAGTACTGTAATGTATATAAGGGCATGACATATAGAGTTTACAGCGCTTATCCTCGTCTACATTGGACGTACGTAGATAAAGGTTGATATCCCCGATATAAGGTGGATGTCATCATGATGAAACTTTCAAGAAATTACATGGACATTTCAAATCTAACGTGGAGGAGCGATATTATTTGGAAATAATTCTGTAGGTCGAGAGCTTTTATGGTTGTAAAGACCAGCCATTTATGGGAAAACAATTAAACTTGGCTTTAATTTGACTGATTAGATGCCGCCAAATGGTCGCTATCTCCTACAACTGTTTGATGGCTTCCTCTGTCAAGATGGTCATTTTTGTCGATTAGTCCCGATTATTACAGATAGGAGAAATCAAAATCCCCTTAATCTCTTCCATGACCTCTTGCTGGATAATAAATTTCTCTACGATATAAATTGTGATTTCCTCGAAATGTCCTAATCAATATCTGCCTCCATCTAGCTTAGCCTCGCCTGGCGGTTAGGCTTGAGGGAGGTCGCTCCCAGGCTCCACGCCGTATTCCTCCGCAATTGTTGATAGTCTGAGGTAATGGATTCTGACATGAAAATTATTGTAGCCGTAGATGAGAAAGCATTTTGCAGAACACATGTCATATTTCATTGAGCGCCAGTAGAGGGGCTAAGGTAGCGGTATTTATCTGATCTACATAAATCTGTCCGTTCATTAAAATAATCAAAATTGCATCAGGAAAGTATAACATTGGCAATCATAACAAAAATATGGATTTAAATATTTTTGACATTGGTACAAAGATGACCTTGTCAAAAGTCATGTGACAACATTGTAAAAGGTCAAGTTAATAATCTTCTAGTTTGCAATGAAGACATATCAAATCTGGTTAATAGAAATGTAACATGTTTTAGAAAATAGTGCAATATAACTTTAGAGGCCAGTAAAAAATGTATTATACAGCACATTCATTCTGTTGCTATTAATACTTCAGTTATTTTTTATCAATTGGTTCATGCTTGTCTTGTTACCGTAGAAACAATTTTAGGATGAGGTAAAATGTGGAGGTCAAATCCTTACTGAGTATGACCTGTTGCCAATTACTGGCAGAAATAGCCATGCAAGAGGAAAAAGGATATTGAGGAAATACATAGATAAGTTATTTACGATAACTCGCCAGTTTCAAGAAAAAACATTTCATGAACTATGAAGATAGACTAAGGCCAACTTCAAAAGGCAGGAAATAAAATGGAGTAGATTTATCATTCTAATTCTGCATACTTTTGAAGAATGCTTGCTTGGTTAAAATCAAGGTTTCCAAAGTAACATTTAACTAAAATAGTTGTGATATTTTAGAGTTGAACCATCATCATCATTTATGTATGGTGGTTGAATTGGGTACAATCAAATGGTTGTGAATATTCATGAGTTGTAGCTATGACAACATGTCAATGACAACTGCTGCTGTGACAATTAATGACAGAGGTATGTCACCGGAGACATCCATCTTAACTTGGGTAATATGAGGCTGGTATGAGAGTGAGGCTGGTGGAGGGGAGGGGGGCTGGTGTTCGGGACTTCAAACTGCCAGGTACATTTTTAGGCACTAGGTTTACCTTAAATACATACCTCCTCACTGAAATACTAATGCAAATTTCACTCCAGTATATCATATATTAAAAGTGACATAGTGAAAATGTTTACTGGATGGGTGTTCCTGGAAGTTCACCATCTTTGTTTGGAACTCTGTTACACAGCGGTTTGTGTTCAGTAGAGGTCTGGAGATCTGGTAATAGGTAGTTATGATGGAGCTTCTTTAGAGTTAGCTTTGGTACTGGGGTAGAGAATCTAGCTACAAAATTATGTATTACAATCCTTTTTCTTTCTGGTTGCCTATGATAGAAATATGTTTGCTACTTCAATTAAATTGATGTATGTATGTCCGTGAAGAGAAATCTGTTTCCCTATTTTTGCAGATATGTGTGTGTGTTTGTGAGAGAAATATATTTACAATATCCTGTTTAAAGTAGTATTTGTAGCTCTTTATGTTACCTTTTGTGTTCTGTTATTCAAATTTATACACCAGAAAATTGAATTCATCATTTATGTCGGCTTCCTTTATACTGTAAAGGAAACAAAAGAAAGGGAACATCATGTGAAAACCAGAGTTTACAAAAAGCACATTAAGATAGGGTTTAATGAGGCGGAAAATATATAATAACTTTGTACATATTTGTGGAAACCTCAGGCAGAAACAAGGTAAAAAAATGCAGCAGACAGTTCACCGAAAAAATGCATAAAAATTAAGGCACGATAAAATCTTTTGAAATTGTTTATTGAGTGGCGTGAATTGCGATGAGAGATTACTATTTGCGTGTTGTTTCGTTCTGGATCACTGGGTGGACAGGAATAAATAAACCTTTATCTAGAAAATTGATCAATTCTCTCTATTCAACATTCTTAACCCCCTAAAAAATGGCTACAATAGGCGGATGGGTCTTACAGATTTTTACAAACAACAAGCTGATATTTACATAGTAATGCAACATTTAGAAGTGAATTTGAGTTACGTTGGATCTGTTCCATTTTGTCATATTATTTCGTGGCTCTCATACATTTCAGGATTATAGAGTTACAACCTCTTTCTGTGGACTCCGGAGCACATCTAGACAGCAGTCATAGCTCACCATTAAGTTCTACCCCGGGATTAGAGAGTTCTACCCTCTCAACCAATGGCACCACAGACGGTAAGTGAGGGTAATTTGTAAACGTGTAGGGATGGCACACACAGGACAGAAATAACGACTTTTGTCATTAGTTCACCTGTGTATTTGATTCTTTTGTTGCAAATGAACTTGACATAGTTTACAGTTATTTAAATAGTATCTCTACACCAACATCAAATGTGTTCACCAATACAATAAACATTGTAGTACCTTTAGTAATACTCTGTCTAATACATTGGCTTATACACTGATACATTGGCTGATACATTCATACATACACTACATACACTGTGGTGTACATTAAAGGTAAACTCAATTAAAAATACCATTGCATTATCTCATTATTATACATTGTATTTACCAGTACGTTGTATTATACAGTAAGTGTTTTGAAAACGTACCAACACCAAAAATAACAATACTGCCTGTTTCTCTGTATATCTTGTGGATTCATGAATACACGAGACTTTTACAATTTACACCTCATGTAGATACTTACACAGGATGGAAGTGGTGAAATCATTGAGAAATACATTGAGAAAGGAAGAGAATGTGGCTATCAAAACTAAATTACACGAGAAAAACTTTGCCCTAAGACACAGAGCAAGCTCGCTAATATCACAGATGTACTGTTAAGACTTTATCAAACACACCTACTCCACAAAACAGTTCAAAGTACACCGGCAGCTTGAGATAGGTGTGTTGAATTGGTTTCCTGATTTCACTTTAATTGGCTCTTGTAATGGTGTCTAACAGAGAGGGCTATAAAAAGGCTCGTCTGATTAGATCAAATCTTGATTAAATGTATCTTCACTTTCACCCTGATAATGAAGAGGTGGGTTATCTCCTCAACAGAAATTGTATTTAAGGAGGCAACCAGAACAGGTTCTACGAGGCGGCGTTTGTGTCCATTTGTCTAATTCTGTACTCTGAGTATTCATTCCCAACTCCAGTCGTCTACACACATACATTGCCACAGACAATCTGTACCATAATATTTGTATTCAGTATTTTTGTTACCTAAATTTTAAAAACAGCCTGTTCCTTTATGAATTGGGAAAATATAGCATTATTTGTATTGAAATTGGGGATATATCTCCCAGTTTTTGGTCATTTTGGGGGAAAACACTTTTTAGCTAGGGAAAACAGCCTGTATTCGGCAGTAAAACTTTGCAAAATAATTCACTGACTATTCAACCACTGATAAAGCCATGTCCTGTAATAAGAACACAGATTTTGAATTATTGATAGTTTTAAAGTTATTCAACTGATATATTCATATCCTGGTATTCAGAATTAATATACACAAGTACAGTCATATTGAAGAATACAAGTATCTAAAATAGATACTAAAAATTAATGGTAGCTGTACTGTAACAATCATTTAAATGAACTGAGAAATCTTTATATAATGTGCTTCGTTCTTTTGCCACTTAATTGACTATCAGTATATTACAAGGTGTCCTTATCTTTCTTTCATTGCCAAACCCCTTTTATAATGCCAATAATGGCTGTGTTAGGTTTTAGGGAACATTGTCATACAGACATATTATTGAGGACTATATATGATAGATGTGATATCGACAGCATAACTTAATGCATCAGTTCTTTCTTTTTACACTAAATCTACTTGAAAATCACATGCATGATCAGTACACAAATTAATATATCAAATACCGTAAAAATGAAGTCAAAAATAATGTAAGTTAATATTTATAGTAGTTACAGTTATTGACCCTTTTCATTAAAGGTAACAATGGGGAATGACAAACGTCTATAAATAGTTATTTTTTCGGTCAATAAGTTAAGTCAATATAAGATGACAAGTGTAGGGTAAGTGTTACAAATCTCACTTGACTGTTCACTATTGATGCTGCCAAATTAATTGGTTACGCTAATGATGTTTCATGAGCATTTAAAAAATCATCAAGTTATTTTGAAGAAGAAAAAGTAATTATGATAAAAAGAAAACGTAAAGCCACTTAATTTGTTATGTGGACAAGTTTTACACTAAGTCTGTTCACATTACCAAGTCATTAGGGAGGTGTTCCGCAGGCTGTGGAAGTGGGGAGGGGGAAACGGGGAGGGGGATCAGGAGGTGTTACTTGGCATTACGGAGCTCTGCCATTTTACAGCACACTTGACGTGGGAGATGACAGGCTAGTGGGTCCCTCATCTGTCATGGAGGATGGCCTAGAGGGCGCCACTGCTAACAGGAAGTGAAGTCGTCAGTAGGCCATAATTGGGCAATGTTTAATCACCATTGAGCAATTGAATAATTTGTCACCGACATGCAAATCAAAGACAGTAATTTATTTGTATTTTCTAAGACTTCCAACGATGAAACTTCTTAACTGTGTAGTTTTTGGGAAAAGTTTAATTAATTTGGAAGAAACTGCTTGAGTCACTGTCAGCTAGGCAAATGCATGTAATCAGAATTTTGTTGTCAGTTCACCAGCGCGTATTACCGTGCACATCGTTGGTGGACAATCGTAGGGCGATGATTAGTTCTTTGGCAGGCCCTTCACTGTACATTTCAGTGTCGGAAAAGGCCTTTTGTTGTTAATCCATTAGGATAGCCTTTGTATAGTGTTGTCATTCTATTGAGAGAATACGCTGTCATCAGCGATCGACGGCCATAGTACCAGTCACATCGTAGCGCGCTGTATGAAAATGATTAAATGTTCAACCATGCTGAAAGGAACTCTCATGAAATATATGTCAGCTAATGAATGGCCGAGGGTTTTAATGCTCCAAAGTTATTACTGGGAGGGCGAAACAGTAGAAAAAAACACCAGTATAAATAAACATTAATTTCGCTGCCTCTGTCTGGAACTGTCATTAGAAAGGCTGGTATATTAGACAACCATTATTTAGGGTTTCCTCTATCTTATCTCCCAAGGTGCCTGTACCATTTGAATCCTTGCCCCATCCAATTTTAATAGATGGATACATTTGTCATTCATTTTGAAATCTGTCAGCTTTTCAGTACTCATCATTGTTTGTATAATATGATTTGGTGTCCTACAAAATCTATGTTGTATGATATTTTCCTGTTAATTGTGATGATTGTTGATTGTTATTTTTCCGTTACTATTAACTTTTTGCTTTCTGCCACCAGGTGTCCTCACAGCCACACTCAGCTCGCCTGGAGGTGGCGCTGTCTTTGCCAGTACTGACAGTTGGGTGATTACAGCCGTTGCGTCACCAGGTAAAATCATTATTATCAGATATAGAGTACAGGTTATAAGCATTAAATATTATGTTATTAAGGGATTATCCATGGTATATATATTCTGCTACAAGGAAAATAATCGCTGGTGTATATGTTGCTATCAGGAAATGTTGTTATTTCTGTCTTCACCAGCAGTAACAATATTACAGTTTTCATAAAGTCTATACAAGATAAGTTTATTATGCGATAATAGTCTGGCCAGCTGTTGCATCAACTATGCATGTAATGTATACATAGCCTGCAGTTGTCAACTGCAGCAACTTTCTCGGGTCTCCTCTGCATTTGATTGGAAAGAAGTTGTAGCTGTATGTGTATCAAGACAAACAACGGCTTGACAGAGATTCGTATCTGTCCAATAAAGTTGCAGTTTTGCTGTGAGACTAAGAGTTAAGACTATAGAATTGTCAATTTAACACCTAGAATTTAATGTTATGTAATTAATTGTGAACAGACAGAATAATAACAATGTTTGCTACATAGTAACTAGGGTTGACGGCATAGTGCTCTCCCCCTCATACAGATCAAACAGTCGTCCTGTCGTTTATAACTGTATATCCTGATATATGTCTGGGCTACAGTAATCTAAATAAACATCAGAAGTAACTCCTTCCATTCAGTTACCCAAAGTTTCAACACAAACATGCTCCTGTTGGCTCTACGTCTTTGATAAAATGGCCATTGCTTTTGGCTTTGTGAAGATTTACTGTTCTGTGGGTATAGTTGTTGGCCTTACAAATGTCATTAGTTACCATACTTGAGATGCCATGTCAACGCCAAGCTTCCCATTGTCCGAATGTTTCAACTCCAGTATATCATAGAAACTCCCCAAGGATCTAACAGGAAATTTTATGAATTTTTAACTGGTCATTATATTGGCTTTTATTGAAAAGTGTCAAAAGAGAAATGTAGCATAGCAATGAATTATATAAAGATATTATCGACAGATATTGTGAGAAATCACCAGAGCATGTTATTTCAAAGCCCCCATCTCGCAACTCCCGTACAGCAGCTCCGTCATGCTCTATCATTTAATCTACTTCATTTATGGATTTTTTACAGAGGAAAAATATAAAACATCTTTATCTGATTTTAGCACTGCTATAAGCTCATGAATTTAACACTGTTTTATCATCCCTCCATCAGAACAGGATAAGCACAGGCTTCGTCATGTATAAATACTAGATTGTTTTATAGAATAGAATGAAAAATTCATGTGTAATAGTTCTTCCTGAATGGACAATTTTATGTTATGAAGTGTACTGTAAATTCATGAACTTATGTAAAACATTCCGTAAATGATATTTCCCTGTGTGGTTATAAGGTTTGGTGATAACATGATTTAGTATAATCATAATATATGACGAAACTCAAGACTAGTTAGGTCACTATGGTTATACTCACTGCAGGCAACAAGACCTAGTAAGTTATTTCAGGTTCCATTTATTGCTGAGAGACGGAGACAGAAATGTCAAACTGTTATTAGACATCGGATTGAAAGTTTAGACCATGAAACTTACACTGGTTATATAACTGAGGTTTAGCTGATAAGGACTGGTTAGTTAACTGGGGTAATAATTATTCAGGTCATTCAGCTAACTGAGGTGTTTATAGGAAAGTGGAACTGGTTAGCTAACAGAGTTTATAACTATTCCTGGTTTACACAGACAAGTTAGCTAATTGAAGTTATACTGTTTATAGGTAATCTGGAACCAGTTCACTAACTGAGGTTATAATTATACCTGGTTAACACAGACCAGTTAGCTAACTGAGGTTATACTGTTTATTTGGAATCTGGAACCAGTTCGCTAACTGAGGTTATACTGTTTTTTTGGAATCTGGAACCAGTTAGCTAACTGAGGTTATAATTATACCTGGATAACACAGACCAGTTAGCTAACTTAGGTTATACTGACTGCAGGGAAAGCTCATACAGATTGACAGTATACCACTCTAAGATTAAAGGATAAAAACTACTGTCTGTTTGTTGCAGAGGAGCAACCACCCTCACCTAGTGTGTCAAGTCCAGGACTATCTTCAGGGTCACACCTGGACTCTGTCCAAGGTATCACAGCTAGATGTCTTACCCAGTAGTGTGTTTTTGGTCTAGTTATACTCCCCTTTTTCACCCAATATATTATTTTTTTCCATTCAAACATTTGATTTTCTGTAGTATTTCTATCAGCATATAGTGTATGTAATATGCATTGTTATTTCTGTTTTCCCCATGTATCTATTCCAGCTCCTTAACCCTTCCTTAGTGATGTTTTACTTCCTTAGTTACACTTGAACTTCCTTGGTTACATTCACTTTTCCTTAGTTTCATGATTATTCATAATTTTGCTGCTTTTGCATTGATTTTGTGCAAGTTCTACGCATTTATTTTGTAGATTAGAGTTTATTAATGGTAGTTCTTCCTTCTTTTTCAGCTGTTGTTAGCATGCTTTCTATTGTTCATCATATTTGAATATCATAATTATGTTTGAGAACACAACTGTTACTATATAAATGCAAACCATCTCTCTCCCATAAATAAAATAAATAAGGACACCCAGCCATAATTCTTATCACTGGGGTTTCATTGTCTTGTCAGGAAAGATTATACTGGAAAACTAAATTTAAAGTACATCTTGAACCTCCCAGTACCAGGGCAGATGTGTTGGGCGGCTAATCTGTGCCCTGTTGATCTGTGAGTGGGTAGGTTTCTATCTTTGGCAGTAGAAGAGTTCCTTTGCTGGGGTCTGACTGATAATTCCTTCTTTGATCTGGCTTCTTGAAGGTCACCCAAGAAATCTATGAAATGTCTCTGTAACTATGTTTTTTTTGCCCCAACAAATGGTATAGGGTTTCAGTTCTGTGTCCTCACCTTAGGGACAAAGCCAAAACTCATCTGCTGCCCAAATTGCTACAGTTGAGATACTTTTTTTCTGTCCTGCCTACTCTTTTTCAGCTGGGTCTTCCCAGGCACCAATCTTCAAATGACCTTAAAAGTTTCAAGGATGTTGAACCCTGAACCAAAAAAAGTTTCAAAAATGAAGTTTAAGGTCTGAAGGGGACCTACATAAGGGTCAGGAAGGGAGGGTCCTACATAATGTAAAGGGCTGAATCATTGGGCATATGTGGGAGAGTCGTGAACAGAACGAAGAGAACAGTTTTAGGAGTTGGTTCCGTCTATCTGAGGTCAACACAGGGTATAAGGGGGTGGGGGGAGCTGTATCAGACAACTTGGTTGGTATGAGAAAAATTACCCCAACGAAGAAAAGTCATGAAAAAGATATTGGTTTCTTACTGTGTTCCCAGTTACTCTCCCTCCCTCAGCCCCCCCCC